GGGGAGAACGGCCCCTCCCCCGGCCCCCGCCGGCGTGAGGGGCCCTGTCCTGGCCCGCACCCAGCCCGCCTCGGGCCCTGCCAAGTGCCTGCCGGCCTGAGAACTGCGGGGCCGGGGCAGGGAGCCCGGGCCAGGAGCCAGAAAATGCTGCTCCCTGCTGAGTCACTGCACGGCCTTGGGAAACACCCTCGCTCCTGACTCCTCTTGAGAGAACCAGGGACCCGCGGGCCAGCTTCTTCCTGGGCTCTCTCTGCAAAACTCGGACAGTTGAAAGCGGCTCCTCCCTAGCTCCTAGAGCAGCGGCTCCGGGGCCACGTTTCAGTGCACGAATTGGAGAAGGTGCAGGGAAGAGCAAGCAGAAGGGTGGAAGGTCGAGCGCACAGGCTCCTGCAGCAGCGGCTCCGGGGCCACGTTTCAGTGCACGAATTGGAGAAGGTGCAGGGAAGAGCAAGCAGAAGGGTGGAAGGTCGAGCGCACACGAGCTAGGGGGAGGCAGAAGGAACTGGGCTTGTGCAGGTGGGAAAAGAGCAGACAGAGGGGACAGGAGAGCGCTTTCAAGTATCTAAAAGGCGTTTGGAGGAGGAGAGAGAAAACTTGCGCTTTGGCCAGAGGCGTAGCGAGGGTGTTATGCGCCTGGGGGCAAAGGCAAAATTTGCACACACACCCTGCTATCCTGCTGGGTGGCGGGGCCACAAACCTGGCACACGGCTGAGTCTGACGCTGGGGCAGGGGAGCTTGTACCACATCTTCCCCACTCCCTCCAGTTTGGGGCTGGGCCCCCGCATGCACTAACTCACTGGCGGAGATGGAGGGGGGTTGGGCTGGGGGCGGGGGGCAGAGGAGGAGCAGGGGAGCCAAGGAGAACTCCTCTAGCGTGGCGCCCGGGGACAACTGCCTCCTCCACCCCCTCACTACGCCACTGTCTCTACCAGACCCCCTACCAGGACATGACAGACAGACTTTCTGAGACACAATAGAGTGGTCCCACTCCCATCCTGACAGGCTCTGTGCTGCTGAGGTGGATGAAAATCTGGAGGAAGGAGAACATCCTGGGGAGGCGGGAGACAGTCCCACAGTTGGGACCCTCCTCCCAGAGAATACTGTGGCATGCTCTTGCACTAATGACACTCCACCATGGGAGAAGTGATTTAGTCCTAAGTGGGGCACAGGTTCTGGTCCAAGAAATGATGATAGCTGGACCACTCAGCAAGAGTGACCATCATGTATTTCATTTAACATGCTTGTAAGGGGGAAGATGCCAAAAAAATCCACCATGGCAGCATTTAATTTAAAAAGTGGGAACTATACAAAAAAGAGGAAGCTAATTAGAGAGAAATTAAAAGGAACAATCCTAAGACTGAAATGCCTGCAAGCTTCACAGAAATATTTTTTTTTAAAAAGGAGTTTTATATGTATCCCCTTTTCTCCCCTGTTCCTCCAAAAAAGAAAAAAAAAACAACCAACCAAACAGTAAAAGGACCCAAAAATGCCACCATGGCTAAATAGCTAAAGAATTTGTTAGAGGCAAAAAGGCATCTTTTAAAAAATTGAAAATCATTTCCTACAAAGGAAAATAGAAAGGAACATCAACTTTTACACTTGACTTGCCAGAATTTAATTATGCAGGTCATAAGAGAATTTGAAGAGCAAGTAACAAAAGACACACAAAAAATGAACTGCAAAGAAAAAATTAAGCACATCAGAAGAAGAGAGCCTGCCAAACAGTCAGTGGGGTCACTAAACAATCAAGATACTAAAGGGACACTCAAGGAAGACAAGGCTGTTGTGGAGAAGCTAAATGAATTCTGAGTTTTCACTGCAGACAATATGAGGGAGATTCCCACACCTGAGCCATTCTTCT